TGTGTGTGTGTGTGTGTGTGTATGTGTTGTGTACCTCTTTCTCTCTCTTTCTCTCATTTTAAGCACACGAGTATACATTAATGCAGTTGCAAAAAAGATCATTGAATCAGCTACAAAAGACGGACCAATAGATGTCGTGCAAAACGCGATATGCGTTATTGACGGTAAATTTCAGTACGCGCCGTTGCGCGACAGCAGTCCTGTTTCGTTCGTCATTCGCGTTGTTTGATCGTGGTAATTTTGTAGCCTGTCAACTACGTCAGTCACGCGATCGCGCGCGACGGGAATGTTTTGCTGTTACGAGCATCGCCCGTATCTACGAGTCGCGTATCGATCACGATGTGACTACGATCTCTCGATCCCCGAGGGAAACGCGTGCAAAGACCGTCGCTCCGTCGTCGATCCGCAACGAACGACGCTCCACCGGCTCGCGCGCTAAATGGCAAAGGTAAGACGCGACGAGCGAGGAAAGGATCGCCGGGAGATCGAACGAGGATTCGCGAAAAAATTCGGAAAGCTCATCCAAATTGACTGAATGGATTGAGTTAATCGAGATGCCAGATTTAACAATCATTAAATCCGTTCGCGAATTTTTCGCGGCGTCGACGATGACAAACCGTCCGCTTCTCTCTCGCTCGAAAGTTAAATCCTGCAGCTTCGTCACGAGCGGGATTCCGTTAAAGCAGATTCGCGAAATATCACGAAAATTTCGCTGCTCCGGTTCTCGCGATGCGACGCAAAGATTTCATATAATCGTCGTTTTAATAAGCGACGCTGTCACTTTCAATTCCCCCTCATATTACCTCTCCCCTCCTTAAGATTCACGAACAATTAAACATGGAGGTTAGAAAACTGTCGTGACAGCTCTTCCACCCTCCTCAACCCCCTTCGTCCTTTTGTCGGCGACTCGCGTTTATGTAAAAAAGTCGCGTGATTCGAACGATTCAAAATTATAGTCTTTTTTTAGATGATTTTTATTAAAATTTTATTTATTTTATTTTATTCTTTTAATGAGAAAATATTTGTTAAATTAAATATTTTTGTTTATTTATTTGTCAGATTTATCAATTCGAATTAAGATAAGAAAAAGATTTTAATGTATATGCATGTCCGATCTATTCGAATAGCTGTAATAAAAAAAAATGAGTATCGAGTTCGAATATTTCGAACAGCAATTTTTGCAAAATGTTTGCAATGCGTTTTGATATATGACACGTATATTCTTCAATGTAGATTCGAACTGTACATAGTTTCGAACTTTCGAATCTAAAGTAAATTCAAGCTGTTCAAACATCAATTCCGAAAAATTTGACTTATGTTCGATCTTGAGATTCGAACTGTTCGATCACCTGATGTTTCGAAATATTAATTTAATGATCGAATCGATAAATTCTCTTCGCACGACATTTGCTTTTGACATTTATATTTTCTCTTTAATTTCTCTCTTAATTAAACGATATCTTTTTTTACGAAAGATCGATTCTGACATTTAATTTTTACGCGTACGACGACTTGAACTTTATTGTTATTAACGAAACGATGAACCGAGGTATCTTTCTTCTCTGGAAAATCGCCACTTTCAGCTTTCTCTTTGCGCATCGAAAAATTACATGTGCTTTATCATCGCGCGAGAAATGCGTCGAGATTGCTCGTGGTAATTCGAGCGGATTAAATAAATGGACGTCTTGTTTGGATTACAGCGACAGATCTTGCGAAGCCTCATCGAGCCGATGTGAATTCGGATTAAGAGTCTCAGGCACGACTGTGATTCGACTGTGGTGCATTGAAACGCTAGATGTCGAGGTAAGCATTGTGTAATATCTAAAGAATATTTTTGGAAACTGGTAATTCGATTCATCTCGATGCGTTGTAGGATGCATTCCGGAGAAGACGATGAAACTGACAGAAGAGGCATTAACAGTGGCAGTCATGTAACGGGGTCGTAAACAGGATTTGTAAGTACAGCTCTAATTACATTAATAACCGCCACGATCTTAATTGGAGAAATCCGTTTTTGTTCTCGCCGTGTACTTGAGCTCATAAACCTCTCCTCCAGTATTTATTTTCTACTCCAGTATAATCCATATGGAATAAATTTTCTTTCATTAAAAAAATATCTACTTTCGTTAATGATAGCGTGAGCTGTATAAACAATATAAAATATAGCGATAATTCAATGAAGCTAACAAAGAGCGGAAAATTTGTGAGCGAAAGTTGAAGAGCTTGTTTTCATATAATATTCTTTTAAAAATGATAAAATTTCTCTTTGAAGGAAAAGGAAAATAATATTATCTCCTCAATAAGTAAAATAAAATTAGTAAAATATTAGGAAAGTAAACTTTTTAATCGCTACGCTTTTCGCTGTTCGATACAAGACGATGTGTCTTGCAGACTCTGTGATGGAGGACTACACACCAATTGACGAGGATTTCCCAGGCCGGTTGTTGCACCAAGCAGCGCTTTGGGACAATGCCGAGCTGCTGGAGGATTTGTTGCGCGGTGAGCACGCGCAATATATCAACAGCAAGGACTCATGGGGCAGAACACCGATGCATGCAGCCGCGATCACGGAGAACTCCCGTTGCCTAGATGTTTTGCTGATTGCTGGAGCTGATCCGAATGTCACCTGCGGCCCTCGCGGTCACCATCGGACGCCGCTGCACGTTTGCGCGGAACACGGCCACGCTGGCAACGTGGAGAAGCTGCTGAACTTCGATGCGGATCTCATGATCCGCGATGACGACGGCCTGAAGCCGCTCGACATTGCCGAAAAGAGCGGACATGACTCTTGCATCCATCTCCTGAAAGCGGCGGCCGAGAAGTATGAGCTTGCAAAACAGGCGACCCATGCTTCTCTGCGCGCGGCCTGCATTCAAGGCGATACTGTGGCTGCCCGGAACATCATTCAGGGTCTGTCGACCGATCTGGAATGCGTGGTGAACATGGCACCGAACGGCGCCAATACATTGCTCTTTGTCGCCTGCGAGAGCGGCCACAAGGACATCGTTCGGTTGCTGTTGGATCACGGTGCCGACTGTAGAAGTCATCCGGTCACCAAGTACTGTCCGCTCTATATAGCTTGTTATCACGGCAAAGTGGAAATCGTTGAGTTGCTGCTTCGGCATTTTCCCAAGCAGGCACAACAGCTTACAGTGGAGCGCTGGCTGCCGATTCATGCCGCGACGATAAACGGCCATCATCTAGTAATCGACTTGCTACTCAAATTCGAATATCCGCAGCACGTCTATCAGCGCTATAGGGATCCGTCCGGGGAATTCGAATATGAACTACCTTTTGACATAAACGCGAAAGATGTCACCGGTCAGCACGCACTCTACATAGCCAGCATGCTGGGTAACGTCAAATGTGTTGAGTTGCTCCTAGGTTATCGGGTGAAGGCGAGGACAACCAAAGAGGAGGATGGCGTAGGTGGTGCGCAGCAGCTCCCAGTATCAAAGCGCAAAATCTCTAGTGGTATTCAGAGACTGATGTCGTCGCTGAATTTTCGCAGCAAGACACCCACCGACAAGAAGGATGATAAAATGATATATCCGGTGAATCTGGATCTCTATTGCAATAACGACAGCGAAACGGCATTGCATGCGGCTGTCAGGGGTAGGCATACCGATGTGGTGAACGCTCTCCTGCAAGCAGGCGCCAATCTCGAACTGCCAGTCAAAGTTCCATACGATCAGAACGATCCCGACGGCAGTTATTCAAGTGTGCTGACGATCGCGTGTCAGAATCGCGACGTGAAGATTGCGGATCTGCTGCTGAAGCACGGCGCCGTTGACAATGAGTGCAAGGCACTAAAGATCGCCGCGCAGAATCGCGACGAGGCGCTCACCGCGAAACTATTATCGATCAAGGCGCACCCGGACTCCGAATATAAGATCAATAAGAAAGCAATGACCGAGTGCACGCAGAGTTCGCACTTTTCTGCTCTGTCGTCCTTTGGTCATGTCACTTACTCCGCGCTATTTCCCAAAACACCCACGATGATCAACTGGCACAACCAGCAGTGTCATCTTTCGCAAATTCGGCTGCAGTGGTTGATCGACGCGGTACTGCACGTCAACAAGAAGCTGAGTCCGAAGAACAATGATCTGGTGTTGTACGCCATTACGCGAGTTGACATCTCCCATAACTCCATCACCTCCGTACCGTCCACCATGTTCTACTTGCAAAGTCTGCGATATCTTAACATGGCACAAAACAAAATCGACACCCTCACGGCCGATTCGAAAAATCCGAAGGACAAATTGTGCCCGGTTCTGGAAGAGATGTACCTACAAGACAATCGACTAGAGCAATTACCGGAATTCATCATGAATTTACCGGCGCTTGAAATTATGGACGTGTCCAATAACAAGCTGCAATGTCTGCCGCAAAATCTATGGCGCGCACCCAAGCTAAAGGAACTGAACGCATCATTCAATCTGCTGCGTGATCTGCCCAGCCAGGCATCGCAGAACATCCTGAGGAAGCCGCAACGCGGCGACGAGGCGCAGTCAAACGGTATCAACTTCCGCGGGCTCTCGGCTGTGCCGCGAATAGAATCCATGGAATTCGACTCATTCACAAAAATCGCAAATGCGCAGGTGATCGAAATGGAACGGCCGCATGTGTGGACCAGCTCCGTCCAAGTGTCAGAGAGAATGAGCGACGATACAGAGAACGGCAACAAGTCGGTGCTGGCGTCGTTGAATCTAGCGCACAACCTCTTCAACAGCATTCCTGTGGCGTTACCATGCTTGGCGGTAAGCCTGATGCGACTGAATATGGCGTACAACTCGCTACGTTCGATGAGTCATATTACTTCGTATCCGGCGAGCCTAAAACAACTAGATCTGTCGAACAATCAGATTTCGCGGTGGCCCAGTCTGCCCCAAGTCGACAGTTCCGACAGCATGGAACAAGCGAACACGGCCTGTTATTGTCCGACTGTGAATGCGCAATCGCCTGGTATCGTGCCCAGCAATCGGCAGACGCCCGCGTCAATGCGTGACATTGTACTGCAATCGGTGTGCGTGCACAGACGGCATCTGCGACTTGAGAACTTACGTACTCTGATCCTAGCGAGCAATCTATTAAATCGCATCCAGCTGACATCGTATGACGATGGCGAGATGCCGTGTTTGGAAGAAGAACGCGGAGATCCAGATAGGGATTCGAAGATCGGACACTCCAGCTCAAAACCGTACTTGCTCTTTCCTAACGTCAGTATGTTGGACATCAGCAATAATCAACTGCGCGAGATACCGCACAATATCTATGAGCTGAATAATCTGTCGGTGCTAAACATTAGTGGTAATAACGAAATTGTCGAGTTGCCACCGCAAATGGGTCTGCTAGGCCGTTTGTGGAATTTAAATACTCAGGGTTGTCGACTGCAAGAGCCGCTTAAATCGATGATTGAATCAAAGAAATACAAGACCATGGACGTTATTGGTTATCTGAAGTCGATCCTGGAGGACGCAAAGGCGTACGCGCGCATGAAATTGATGATCGTTGGTATTCAAGGCATCGGCAAGACGAGTCTGCTGGAGCAATTACGGCAGGAGGGTGAGGTGCCGAACAAAAAGAAGGCATCCGAGCACTGGGCTAAGCGGATGGGTAATAAGAATATCAACGCAAAAACCGCCAAGGGTATGACGATCTCGACGGTGGGTGTGGATATCGGCGATTGGATTTATGAGAAAAAAGTACGCGGACAATCCTCCCATGGACCGGTCTATTTCAGGACTTGGGACTTTGGTGGTCAGCGCGAATACTACGCAACGCATCAATATTTCCTGTCGAAGCGCAGCCTGTATCTCGTCGTATGGCGGATCACGGATGGTTTCAAAGGCGTTTCCGAGATCTTTCAATGGCTGGTAAACATTCAAAGCAGAGCGCCTAACTCGCCAGTCATCATCGTTGGCACACATTACGACATCTCCTACGAGCATAGCGAAGGTCTGCAACAGTATATACGTGACAAGTTTATTAACGTGGTCGATGCCGAAAAGTGTGGTCTGCCCAAAGTTATGGAGACGATCGAAGTGAGTTGCAAAACGCGCCACAACATCAAGATGCTGTGCAACCTCATCTATGATGTTGTCTTTAGCTTGAGATCCCCCGGCAGCAAGGAACTGTTGTTGGAACAGAAAGTTCCGGCGAGTTATTTGGCGTTGGAGGATGTGGTAATCCAACTGGCGCACGATAGAAAGCTATCCGGTTTGGATCCGGTTCTGAAAGCCGACCAGTATTACGCAGCGGTAAACAATGAGCTTCAGAAACTGCACAGATCTTTCAGAGATCCGGCCGAGTTACATCAGGCGACACTATTCCTTCACGAGAACGGCATAATCCTACACTACGATGACGCCACGTTGAAGGATCTCTATTTCTTGGATCCGCAATGGCTCTGTGATATGTTGGCTCACGTGGTCACCATACGGGAAATCAATCCATTTGCTAGATCGGGTATAATGAAATTGGACGATATCCAGCATGTATTCAAATCATCCACGATATCGTCAATCGACACTCAGGGCTATATTGTCAGTTTGCTCAATAAGTTTGAAGTTGCTTTGACATGGGACTGCCGCACGCTGCTGATACCGTCCCTCCTCCCAACCGAAGAGGATATTCTGCGTAACAATCAAATCATCAAGGTACCGGTGAAGACACGTGGTTGGCACGTGCGTGCGAAGAAAATCACATCGCCCATGTTTGCGTATCTGGGTGCGCCGACCGGTGACAATAAAAACAACGCCGAGTGTGTGCTCACATCCAGATCACAGCCCGATTGTTCCGTTACCAGACTGTTGCTTATGTCGTATTTTCCCAGTGGCTTCTGGTCCCGACTGATCACCCGCATTCTCGCAGATGATGCCATCGTCGACATTGTCATGTCGTTCCTGGCGCCATTCAAGGATTTTGTTGATGACAATATTTTCGCTAGTCTGTTGGACCTGCAGGCCGAATGGGTGCTCTGGCAGACAGGAATCGAGCTGCGATATTCTGGCATTACGTTGTTACGTCTAAAGGAAGTTTATTATAATCTGAAGAATTCGCCGTACGATTACAGACAGTTTAAATTCAAATTGAAACAAGATGGTATTTGGTGCACAGTGGACCTGAAGAATTCCGCCATTCTAGAGATCTGGTTTCCAGTGGATACTCTAGTAATCAAACAGCCTATCATGTCTGATTCCGTGGATGAAGAACCGATGGGCTATCAAGCGATTGTGGTGGAGCCACGACCGGAGAGCATGCCACAATTAATGGCGCTGATTGTTGATCACATCGACATCCTATTAGAAGACTGGTATCCGACGCTGGGCACACGTTTCGTCCACACTTCAGAGGGTAAATTGCTAGTCACAAGATTAATACCATGTCCACGCTGTTTGCTTGGCAACACCGAGAACGGCGATGGTGAGTCGAGTGATAGCGATGGTCGCTTGATTGAGGACATTCAGAAGTACTGCGCCGTGAATCGTACTGAGAGACAGAGTCAGGACAGCTATAAATCTGATGGCGACAGTGGCGTCGGTTATGACAGTCTGACATCCAGTAGGATGCCGTCGCTCGAAGGACATCCGGACATGTCAAGGCAACAGAGTTCCACACATCCTGAGAGTACCTTAGCATACTCCTGGATGGTAGAAGAGTGCATATTGGCAGCATACAGCAATAAACCTATCAGTTGCCCAAGACACTCGGAAATCCCACTGTCGCATGTCGCACCGGACATCATCTTCATGGATCTAGGTGTCAAGCATCTGATCAAATCGGATGACTTGAAGCGGGGCAAACTGCTGGGCCGTGGCGCTTTTGGCTTCGTCTTTCGTGGCAGCTGCCGATTGCCTGGCACGCATGTCCGCGCCGATGTGGCTATTAAAATGCTGCAACCGGTCTCGCCGGGCCCAAACTCCACGCAGTCGGCGATTTTGGCGTACAAGGCGTCGCAGAGCAAATGGGACCGCGACCCGTTACAGTATGCCTGCAAGGCGTACTGCATGGCACGTCAGGAACTCAATATCCTGCTGACACTTAGGCACGCCAATATCGTACCACTGATCGGTATAGTCGTTAGTCCTTTGGCTCTCGTGTTGGACCTGGCGCCTCAGGGTGCGCTGGACGGCGTTCTGAAGAATTATCGTCGCTCTGGGGCCAAACTGGATCCCTATACGCTTCAGGCGATAATTCTTCAGGTTGCCAAGGCAGTGGAGTACCTACATCAGCAGCATGTCATTTACCGCGATCTCAAATCGGAAAACGTGCTGGTGTGGCAGATGCCGTTGCCGTTTCAAGAAAATCCGGACCCGGTGCATGTCAAGGTTGCCGACTACGGTATCTCGAGGCTGACGTTGCCTACAGGAGCGAAGGGTTTCGGCGGCACAGAGGGCTTCATGGCGCCCGAGATCATCAGGTACAACGGCGAAGAGGAGTACACGGAGAAAGTGGACTCATTCTCGTTCGGCATGTTTATCTATGAGCTTATCACGTTGCGCCAGCCGTTCGAAGGCCACGAAGCAGTGAAAGAGTGTATTCTGGAGGGCGGTAGACCACCACTCATGTATCGCGAGACTTTCCATCCGTGCTACGCGCTCGATCTGATGGTGATATGCTGGGCGCAGAATCCGAAGGATCGGCCAACCGCTAGTCAGATCGTCTCAATCGCCTCCGCGCCCGAATTCACGCATTTGATAGATGTCACTCTATTGACAGAACGCACACAAGTGACGGCGGTCACGATGACAAATCATTGCGGTAGCAGTGGGCAGAACGAAGCGATAGAGAGCCTGAACGGCGATGAGATCTGGTTTGGCCACAACAATGGTGAGGTGGACATGCTACTAGGCACTCAAAAGGGCTGGCTGCGTCACGTGCGTATCGAAACACCGGTGATACCATACGCTATGTGCGGCATAGACGGTTACATCTGGATCGGCGACAATGCCGGTCAGATACACGTTTATCTGTGCGGCAACTTCGGCTGCGTGGCCAGTTACAGCCTAGAGGCAGATCACAGCAGGGAGTCCAAAGTAGTCGGACTGATCCATCTGGAACAGCTGAAACAGTTCGCCGTGGCCCTGCATAGCGGTCGGATCTTTCTGTTATCCAACTCGTTCATGCAGATGAAGAAGACAGAAATCACCGGCAGCAGCGGTGGCACAGAAACGACACGCAACGGCACTGATATCAAGACCTATTCGCTTGCCGCGGTCTGCCGGAAGAGACGCGTGCTGGAGCTCTGGACCGGTCAGAGCTACGGCCGGATATCCGTTTACACGCTCAAGGATGGTAACTTGGCTGACACCGCGCAGTTGTCTCACTGCACTGGAATCATCAACGATGCCGCAATGAAGAATCTCTTCGCCACTTATCTAATTGGCGCGGCGACCGAGAGCTTTGTCTTTTCGTATACATATCCCGGCTGCGTAGTATATCAATGGGACGTAGACAGCCGACAGATCGTCAACAAGCTCGACATGTCCAAGCTGGTGCCGTGTTCCGAGAGCCTCAAGTCCATCGCCATAGAAGAAAACTTGTCGACAGAAAAGTGTCAAGTCACCGCGCTCGAGGCCAGCAGTGGTCAACTATATATCGGCACTACCTGGGGCTGTATTGTCGTCGCCGAATGCGGCACTTTACGTCCCATCACCGTGTTCCGACCATTCGAGGGCAAGGTCTGCCAGATTGTATCTCTCAAATCCGCAGACAAGAAGAAAATAGTATTGGCGACCGTCGGCCAGGGATATCGCAGTTTGATCGCGCGATACACCGACTTCCCACTGAAGACCCTGGAAAACGAAGAACTCAGACACGGCATGTATACTCTGCTATGGCGGTCGGAAAACTGGTCGGCAGCTTGATTCCCGCGAAAATCTTAAAGTCCGTACGTTCAGTGACTGTTTCTCAGCATTATATGCGATCTTGTAGACGCATATAATGACTTCGTCTTACAAGAAGATACATAAACGAGATTATCGTTGAATGTACGATGAGAAAATGGACCTGATTCGATCCAGCCTGTAGGAGGAAATTTTCATTCGTAACGAGATCTATATAGTGCCAAAATGTTGCATGGTCCGGTGTGATGAAATCTCAAAGATGAAATTCGTTGTGATAGGATCGCAGGATTCTCCCTCCTCTTTGGCCAGTATAATACTGGAAACGCTTAAGTGGTGCGAAATTTAATTGAGCGACGTTTGAGCTCGGTGAATCTTATACGTCCACTATTATAGTATTTAACACCCAAAGGATGCTGATTGAAAATAAGCGTGCTTGACGCTCGGGAAAGAAATTATAGAAAATTAAAAAAGGGAATAACATTGCAAATCTCACATCACTCAGTTTTCCTCGCAAGTACGCTTATTAATGAATGTCCTGTATAATGCATCACAGGCTGTAAATGAATATTCTTTCGTTCGTCCAAGTCACAGAATTTCCGAGTATAAGAGAAACATTACTTATTTTATATAAAATTAAATTCTAAGAGAATAGTCTAAATTTTAAAGTATTAAAGTATTAAAGTACTTTAAGATATTTTAAAGTACGTTCTCGCTTGCATAATATAATCGGACTCTACGAGAGAGTGATGCTATTTGTGTATTTATATAACTCATAAAAGAGAAGGAATGATTCTGGCGTGTTAATACAATTTGTTTCGTCACTGCGAGATGAAAAAAAATGGGATGAAAGAGGGAAAACATTTTTCTTAACTGATATTAACTGAGCTGTTTCAGATATTAAAGAGCTATTTTTAGCACATCAATTACCTTTTATAATATCGTTAATGTTAAGATTTCGATAAGTTTTATTGCTGATATTGAGATCTCATAAATCTCAAACCGATAGAAATATAATTTTTAGATTGTACTCATGTATCTCTTTCTCTCTCTACGATTCAGTTAGATCACGTCCAAATTAATATCTTATAAGTTGTACTGCAAGATTTGCAGAGACTAAGTCTAAGATCGAAGGTTGTGGGACATGTTGTATAACATATAAAAGTATATTGACATTAATTTACTGTAATACTAAGGAGATAAAAAACCACATATATACGTAAACATGTTAGAAGTATTTTTGCTCAATTAAATTATTAAATTTTGACACTTGATGATTTAATTATAGGGACACGATCAGTTTATCCCAAACGTAATCGATGTGATACGAAATACTCAGCGAAAAAAAGAACGTAAAATATTGTCACAAAACTATATTATTTTTAATTACGCTTGCCAAAAAGTTCTTCAAAATATTTGTTATAGATTTTATCTCGTCCGATCATTGCTTTTTGATGTAATAAGTGTTCGTTTTTTTCGACCCTTTCATAAATTACAACAATAAAATGAAGATAGAACGTAACTACGATTTACAAAATTCGTAATGCAAATAAGAAACAAGATTTAAAGAGCCAAATATTATTTCTAGAAAATGTAATGCGATTGGTCGATAATATCTTTTAATATCTTGCGATGCAATATTTTTAATTTATATAAACTTTTGTATTTATTTTTTTACTTGTACTTGCAGTGCGTAAAGCGAATTACAGTGATATATACGCAGCTTGTATCCCTTTTTTAATATAAATGATCATTATAAAAACTAAACTAAAAATTACATATATACCACCTATTATAATTATTATCAAGTATGCCTTGAAACATGGTGAATAACAAAATGTAAAAAAGTATCCAATTATTGCAATTGAAAATTCTACGCGATTGATCTCCATATAGCATTTACAAGAATGCTAAGAGAGCATTCTTGTAAATTCATGTTTACTCATAAAGATTATTATAGTTATCATCTTATAATCATCGATGTAAGTTATAACTTTGCAGGAACTCATTGTTAATTAATGTATTGATTGTCACACGAAATATAAACATTGTTGTTGAATAAGACTCATTAATTATCGTTTATCAGTGCTATAATAATATGATTATAATTAACACAGATTATAATAACACAGATTTTAAATAACGAAATCTTTATCTACAACAGAACTTACGATAAAAATATATTTCTCTAGTCATTTAGGATTTATTCTCTTTTCTTAACTCCTTTCTTGTTTCCATTTCAGAAGTGTACTGTTTCATCGCCTGTTCATATACGGCGTCTTTTGATAGTCCTTCCTACAAGTTAAATAAATTTTCAGTATTATTGAAAAATTAATTTAATTATGATTAATTGAATAAATAATTATGTACCTTCTTTATCGCTTCATATATAGATAAAAATTTTGTGTTGCAGACTTTACATTTTCATTTGCCAAATTAGTAGCAGGTATGAAACTTTGATCCTCATAAAACCTTCTATAACGGAATAATCGTTTAATGGCATTACATGAAATATAACAAATATTTAATTAAATGTAACATATTGAAATATCTTACGCTCGAATAACATCCTCTTGGTAAAAGATAGGTCTGACACGTTTCTTTGGCAATCGTCTGTCGAATCTTGGTTCATATTTTGGAGGAAAAGCTTCGTACACCCCAAACCATAATGGTACGTCTTCCACTTTCATAGCTTTACCTTTTAACAGCGAAGCGACTCTGAAATTTATTCCATTGTAAATGTAATTGTCATTGAAAATATTCGAATCAACAATTTCCCGAAGATACACAAGTGATTTATTTGCAGACAATCTATAAGCGATGTATCCTTTTTAAACATGTATTAAAAAACATTAAAATTAGAAGCATTCTAAAATAAAAAAAAAGATGTGCCAGAAATGCGATTTAAATTTTCAAAATCAGACATATTTAATTAACTCGAAAAATAGATTTTTTTTTAATAAAAACGTCAATTTTTTTGTAATTTTTTAACACTTTCTGAAAACAATTTCTTAATAATTTAATCAAATAATTTCTAAAATTCTGTTTGATAAAACTCATGATAAACGCAGGCTCACCTGGTATATATCGTGCCGATTTTTTCCAATCTGCTTTGTGCCATTCTGTATTTCTTTTTTATTCAATTAAAACAAAATTCAGTGAATTGTTTTTAGATATTTTGCTATCTAACCCCTCAAACATTGTCAACACATGTCGTCGCCATTTTTAAAATGTCACAGTGTGAGAAATCTGAGAATGCCAAGTCCCTAGGAATTCTGGAAATTAGCACGTGGAGCCACTGGAGTTTTTTGAAAGCAACAGTTTAGCTCGCGTGTTGTTTTCCCGCGCAAACGGCAGAGGCGAGTCGCACGCTCGTGACTTTTAAAGTGCCTTATCTTTTAAAATTTTAATTTATTTTAGCGCAACAAGTGTTAATTCATATCGCAGAAATGGACACGGAAATCGATCAGAATCTAGAACAGATAACGCGTGAATATGTCGACTTTCTCGACGACACGGTAGACATCAAATTTTGTTGTTGACTATGTTAATACTTGAAGATGCACTGTACTTTAATCCTCTGCAAACAAATTTTCTTTTATTTATGAATAAATATGAACTCAATAAAAAGAAATGTTAATAAAATCCTTGAGGAAATGCAGATGTAAACGAATGTGCCACTTTTGAATCATGGAATCATTACAGAGAATTAAATGTCACGTAAGGATATTTTGCATTTACTTTTATTCTTGTTTATACTGCGCAGGAGGACCAGGGTATTTATGCTACGATGGTCAAGAATATGATTCAGGAGGAGAAGTATAGATTAGTTGTGAACATTAATGATTTGAGAAGGAAAAACCCTGTTCGAACAACAAGGTATGATGTTCATTTCTTTAACTCTTGC